AGGCTATTCGTGTTGTCCATGTACTTTAGGTTTTGGTGTCAGAGTACACGGAAGTTTCGCACGAAAGGCGCAGGATGCAGCGCTTGAGTGGCCACATTGTAGGTCCGACTGTGCTCACCCTTACCCAACCTCATGAATCACGACTTGACCTGGTTGATCGAAGGTTGACCTCTGAAAACCACGTGGAGAGGCGGTCGAGGTCCTGCTGAAGCTGGTCAGAGTCATTGGATGCGCAAACAGCGTACCATTTATTCGTCTATCTGTTTGTCCTTCACAGAATATCTTTGACTCAGGACTGTTGGTGCACTCGAGTGTTAGAGCTCCCTAGTTTCGCCTACACTTCAGCTGAATTAGTGATGTAGTGTGTCCGGTGATGTTGATGCGTTGCCCTATGTATTTGGCGGCCGCTCTACCATTTGCGTATTTTCTTGTCACGTTTGCTCCGTTTACAGTGCCGTAAGCCCCACTGGTGTTGATATTTTTTAAACATGTTAGTCAGCAACAGTCCATGTTTGGCATGCTTCCGGTCCTGTCAGTTTATCCCTCTTTTAAATTTCCAGAGGCGTTTCAGTTGTCGCACCTGATGGGAGGATGTGTTCGTTGGCATTTTGCATGATTTATTCGACCATTGTGACGTTATTGGTTTAGGGTTCCCAACACGTTTGACACTAAATGTTTTGAGAGCGCCTGACTCCTTTGGCTTTGTATAGCAGTTGAAGTAAACAAATATTGCACAAGCAGTAGCGCGTAACAAGATCACACGATGGATTTTACTCGATGCTAACCAGGTCTAGTGATCCCCTCCCCGCGGCTTCATTTGACAGTGACTGGAAAATACTGGGCGTGGGGGAGCAAGTTAAATGGTGACTGCTGTACACAATAGTAACTAAATCAATCAATAGTTTTATTCACGATGAAACCAGATACACAAGTATAGGCATCATCATCAAATGTACCGGAACGGTTGATAGCTTGGTCGAACGCTGTTGACACGCTCAGTCGAACGGGGCAAAAACATGAGGTTGGCTGCCTGACTAGAGCTACATTGTCATCCTCATCATACACGTTAGGTAGAGGTGGGGAACACCTCAGCTACTGTGCCGCAATACATAGAAAAAAGAGAAAAATACAACTGGTGCAAGCTGGCTGAGCTACCGGTAACGGATGGGCATCATTCCGGTAAGCTACCAGCCGGCTGCTGTTCACCCAAAAAAATTATTATGCAAAGTTATATAACGCTAAATAACGAGATCGTGATTGGAGGGGGAGGCTAAGAGGGATGGGGTGGGACAAAGAAACTCACAGCACAGACGCCACTGAGGTCGGCTCCTAGCCATATCAGCAAGTGTGTCCAACCAGACGTGTTCATCGTCTTTCGGACCCCAACCAGGGAGCTGAGACGCTCCAACCGAGGCCAGCTCAGAAGTGAGGGCCTTCATTCCTCTGGACCAAGTCATCGCTTGGACACTCCTCCTCTTCTTCCATCCACACCCCCGGCGCGCAAACAACACACGTCACGGGAGTCGGTGGGCTGGCATGCGTAACACATGGCCGAGCTATCGGAGCCTGATGCGTGAAATAACGGTGCTGAGCGGTTCATTTCCTTTTCCTGTGCCATAAACAAGGCGTCGAACACGCTCGTTGCTCACGCGGTGTTCCCAGCAGATGTGAGCTAAATTACGAAGGCACCGGTGGTCGAACGTAACTAGCCTCTTCAGGTCCGCTGCTTTAAGCGGCCAGATTTCACAACCGTAAAGTAGGGTCGAACGTACTGCTGCATTGTACACTCTACCCTTCAGGGTGAGTGTGATGTCGCGCGGCGCCATAAGTGGCGAAGGTTAGCAAAAGCGCCCCGAGCTTTTGCTATACTATTGGTGATTTCATCTTCAATCCCACGGGCGCTGATACAACTTCCCAGATAGTTGAATTTTTGAACGACTTCTAGCTGATCCCCACCAAAGATCAGCGTAGGAGGCGGTCCAGACCAATCTTGGAGGAACGCTTTGCACTTCGAGGGTGCGAAGCAAAGCCCGAAGTGACGGACAGCTAGTGCTAATCTGTCCAGTGCCGCTTGACACGTTTGTGAGCTGTCACAGATCAGGACAATATCCTCAGCATACTCTAAGTCAAGAAGTCGTTCTCCTGGGAGTAGCTCCACACCTAAGTCGTGTCCTGTGAACGCGATGTCTATGACTTCGTCAACAGCGAAGTTGAAGAGGAAAGGTGACAGTGGGCATCCTTGTCTCACGCCGCTGGAGATATTAAAGGGCGACGACAACTTGCCGTAAGCCCTCACTCTGCCCGAGCTACCTGCATATAATGCTCGGATAATATTCACATATTTCTCAGGTACACCTTTCCTGAGTAGACAGTCCCAAAGTGCATGTCTATCCACCGAATCGAATGCACCTTTGATATCTAGGAACACGACAACGGTGGGCCGCCAATATATGTGACGGTGCTCCAACAACTGACGAGAGCTACATTGTACGCATGAGTATCTGAGAAACAAACCGGCAATTTGCAAGCCAGTATACAAACGGAGTACACTGATATTTTTCGAGAGAATGATTGTGCACACGACGTCAACTTGTCAATTTGAGACGAATAAGTGCAAATCCACAGTTTTGCATGACAAATTGTGACGGAGTAAATCCGAAAAATTTGGCGTGCAAATCTTCTGTACGTCGCGTACAGGTCACCTGGAATAGGTTACAAGTGAAACCAATGGTTCCCCTCTGGTCCCTGCATAATATCATCTGGAATTCCTGTGTTCATTGGTTACTGGATGTGAAAACCGAAGCACTCTTTTACTCGGATATTTATGATGGTGTTATTGGATCTCCACTGGCAGTGTGTTGTTAGCAGAGGTTCATATGACCGCTTGAGAAAATAATTCTCTTAATGGAGTTCGGTTCCCACGGAACGGCTTACCTGGAAAGCGGACCACGACAGACTTCGGTTCACACCACTGAAGCAGAAGCGACCCGTTCAGCAGTAAATGACGGTTGTCGCTTCCTGTAACCAAGTTATTTTCCATGCGAACAGGGATTTTTTCCGACTCTCAAGCAACTCTCTATCGTCTATGTGACCGGCCGTCAATACTTTGGCTCAAGGATCTCTGACGGCCAAACCCGAATGCATTTCTTGTCATTTGGCCGCCCACGCTCTGTGCGCAATTAATGCCGTCCATTTCCTATCTCTCATCGCGTTTCAATGAGCTTACCGAACCACTTGGCCAACACCAACCCACTACCGTTTCGGTGTGCGGAACTCAGCATCAATCAATTCCGTGAGCATTGCGATATGGTCACAATCGCCTCTGTGACACCATTCTCCCGCGTCTGTTGGGGTTCTCATAAATTCAACTGGATTACCTTTATTTGCGCTTCGAGATTATGACATCTTTCACAGTTAATAATAATAATAATAATAATAACAAAATAATAATAACAGTGTATATTCTCGGGTTTACTAGACACGCCCTTTTCTGCATGATCTGAGTTTTCCAATTGTTTCGTATAACATTAACAGCACATTCCAAATGCCAGATAGAAATAAAATTCGTGTTTTTATCCTCCAGGGTTTTGCAGTTCAAAACCCCCTGTAAACGCACAGTATAATTCATGGTGTCGTAACGGTGATCTCTGTATAGACGGAACTAAGTTTTCATTTTCTTGGGCAAAGGATGAGGAACAACTGTGGTGATAAGAGAGACATTAAGGCTGAAATCATACGTATTGAACAGAGCATCTGATGTTTGTTAATTATTTACCATACATTGTGACATTCTAAAAAGGATTAGTGAAAGATGGGGGTATTCATTTAATTTTATTCCAGCAGCTGTATATAAGGGCCGAGATAGATAGAACGGGATATTTGTGTGTGGAAGGCGAACATGGTTAGCACTTGTCAACTGGTTCAGACATTTTAGTCTACCTGTACGCTAAGTGTAAGCGAATAAGAGGGAAAAGGAAAGAGAAATATTGAAAATAAGGATGATGTTGGAAGTGGAACCGGTTAGCTTCACCCCTTGCTGCCTGACATGAGAGTAACACAGGAAGCATAGACGAGTAATAGAAGCATAAATGATAAAAGCTAACGAAGATGGATGGGTTCAGTTAGCGTTTCCTTTTCAGCTCACACTGTTTTGTATGGCTGCAAAGTAGGCGTGGCTGAATAAGCAGTGTATGAAGGATTGGAGACAACAATAGTTATCTCAGTTTGCAATTCTTCTGCAGCCCACACTTATTGGTGTGCCTGTGAGTTATGCTTTCCCTAGTAAAGAAGAAAAGTAGGTCTCGTGAGCGGATTCTGACAACTTTATATCTTTTTTCTTTGCACGTCTTCAGGATGGCTTAACCAAGTGAATGCACTGTACGTAGCATATTTCATGTATATTTGTTGCCAACTCACTTGCGTCTCAGCCCCTCCTCAAATAGCATTTTTTCATTGCAATTTAGTTACAACAGGCACTGCTCTGTTAAACGATGGTCGCGAGTTGTATGCTGTTATTTCAATAGAAACGCTGTTCCAGATATCAGTGTATCTGTTTAGGAAAACTTTTCTTCGGACATTAGTACTTGCGATTTCTAATTGCATATGTACCTACTTTTTTGAAGCGAATATTGATATTTGGCATGAAGATACACTTAGGTATCAAATCAAATAGGACTTTTAATCCTAGCTTCATGTGTCTTAGCCACAATGGCTTCAGTTGTAGCATCTTACAACGCTCAGAGTAGTTAAATTTATACAGCGAGTTAAAGAGAGCCTTTGTGAATGATCTCTGCATCTGCGGTCGCGTTTCTTGCTACGGCCATAATCCCTTAATCTTCTATACTCCCCGCGGTTTTCTGTGCTTTTTGCCGTTTTTTAGTAGAGCACTCGGTTCCTCTTGTATTCTGTTTTATAATTGTACTACTTTTTTATTTCTCGTTTTTACCCAATTCGCCCACTGTTTGTTTTCTGTCGCAACTGATACTTCTGTTTATTTCTAGTATTACCCGACTTCACGACACGGGATCAAGGAGTATGAGCACCTTGAGGCGTCTGTGTTGCTTCACTTGGAATCTGTGCTTCAGCCGGACCGCTCCAATTGCTGAAGTCTTCGGACTAATGTATCCCGGTCAAATATTTCACTGTTTCGATACCTTCATTCTTTCAACCCTTCCCCTTTGCCACCACATCCGTACGAATTCCATGTATAATCAGACGATAGTACTTTTCAAGTTTCTGGTATGCGTTCTATTCTTTCGATACTTCCGAAAGCTCGTGGTCTTATGCACTACGTTTATTATCCTTTGGTCTCGTCACTAGTCTTTCTCATTGTCTCTAAAACCAAGAGTTTACGGGAGGACAAGGAAGCATGCCCAAATCGGCATTTGTCTTTGGCCGGAACACACACACAGATTTCTCCCACCTGTTATGCTTACTCACTACCCGAGGGCGGTACTCTGATTGTTAACAACTGCTCACACCATATAAACCTTCTCTACCTATGACTTGCGAAATTCCCCGGTCCATTGACACCGTTTCCATTGACTTGGGGAAACAACTCCGGGGTCTCCCTCTATTTTCCATCGCTTTCACCTTTGTTGTTCTATTCACCTTGATAATCACATAGTGTCCGTTTCAAAACCAACTTAAACGGGAGACTGTAGCTGGTCTGCAATGTCTGAATTGTCTACCTATTCTGAGGCCCTCACTTGTTCCTTATGTGCTAGCCTTGATCGTAATGTTAACTTTTCGAGCGTAGTGAAAGGTGGGGTTTAAATGGAATTTCCATAGACATTCGTCACAGTCAGACAACCATCACACCCGGAAAAGCACTGTGCATCTGTTTCATCTGTTCGGAAATTGTCAGCATTGCAAATTCCAACTATCCTCTGTGAAGTTAGCGCTCACGATCCGACACATACATGTCCGTGGTCGAGACTACCGATCTCATAGTTCCATCGGACAATGATGGCTCAGCGAAAGGAGCTTCATTGCCCAAAGGAGAGGTACATTGTGAATTGTTTGACCTGGTGCTTTCACTGCCGCGGGCGCTTGGTCACGGCGCTAATCCTGTCTCTCTTTCGTATTTGTACACTTGTCTTTCCACCGACTTATCCTGTTCTGGCATCTCACCATAGGCATCCACAGTTTTATAACCCTGTTTTCGCATTTAGGGAACATGTGCTCGCATATAAGGAGGGTTGATTTTCGAATCGCCATTTCTGCAGCACTTTCCCTCGTGCATTCGGTACTACTGAGACGGTATCAACTCCATCCGTAGCGCTCTATGGGTGGTATCCGATCCCGCGTTCGTCCATTGTCTCAGTTGTCAGTAGCGGCTGTTTGCTCGGCTCATTCCACCAGATAGTTTCCCCCCCACTCCTTGTGCTTGATTCCATTCCGTAAGAATTAGGTTGTGAAACTCGCAGTCGAATCCTGCGGTTGAAGACCGATCCGAAAGTGCTCAGTCGCCGTCACCTGCAGTGAACTTGAGCGCCATACCTGGCCTATCACTGCCTCTTGCGCTTCTGACCTACGTGACAGTAGCTTATGGAACCGCACATGCCACTCTGGTAGGGTTCCTGCTTCTTAACACGGCCCCGGTCATACAGATGTATTAATAACACTGTACGTTATTCGTCGCATCGTTTGCTGGTCGATATTTGGGCTGAGAAAGTAGTATATTTCCCATGATTTACTCCCCTTTTCTCGTTAGCTGGTAACTAGGCGACGATGTAGTTGTGTTCGTGGTACCGAGAAGTTTTATCAGCACAGGTCTGACTTGCATAACCTGTCTAGCTTGAACGCGCCAAAGCTCTTTTACCAGGGCAAAGCAGTTGTACATCTAGGTTTTGTGGTGAAGTCATGGTTAGAAGGAACGTGGTCATAGAGATCAGGGTTGGGAGTCAAGCAATCCAGAAATACTGGCGCAACTGCTTTATTTAAGTAAAGCAGTTACGAAATGGTCATGGATTTCATCCACTACCCACTGTGATTTACTTCCAAATAAAAATCTCAGTGGTACACTGATGCCTGGTTTGGCGTCGTATGCTACATATATCCTTCGCGATTGTTATCTACCGGATAAACTCGACTCTGGCTTTTCCTAATTACGCTGTTAGTGCGATTCCTAATGGAGTCACGTTTCCACCCGTACGCACTGTGTGGAGGACTGTGTCACTGCTCGCCACCATTCCGAATGTCCTAGATAGATACGCATATTTACGACGGCATCCAGGTGCTATTTATCATGGTGTTTGTCGGTTGTTACCTATACCGTCACATCTCTTGGTCAGCTACGATTCGATATGCCGCACCAGATCCATTTGGCGAATATCCGTGTTCTGCTATTTTTACTCGCGTATGGTCCAAACTGTTTTTCCAATTGGCTAAACACCACCGAAACTCGGCGGACCAAACTACCATGACTTACATCGTCAAGCCAAGCTAAATTATTTTTTTTGTTTACCCGTGGTTAGACGTTAAATATTGGATCTTGCAATATCCGCCTTGTGTTTGGATTGCGACTCGCAATCTCGATTGATGCTACAGTTTGCTTCGAAGCAAACCATTTCGATTACTGGAACCACATCAAAAATGGAGAGTTTCGTAGCTGCTTTCTCTCAACACTGCACTCCACGACTGACCGGTTTCGCCCTTGTTTGGACTCGTCAAGTAGGGATAGCTTGAGCTGACAGTGGAACCCTGTTGCAGGCCCGTCAAATATCCGCGCAAAAACGCGTCAGAAACCCTGGTATAATAGCTGTGGAAAGCGGGGCCCTCCTCACAACGTACCAGAGTTCAGCCACTCCGAGATGCGGCCCAAGTGCGCACCCGTTGGCAATATTCTTTTACAAACTAGCAGCCCGTCGTGGTAGCTATTTTCCCTAACTTAATGACCCATAGCATTGGTTGTGATTCGCCCTTTGTTGGTCGTAATAGATCCTTCAGGGGACCACTGGCCTTTCTTCCTCTTCGCCTCAGTTGGGAGTCGGTCGGGTCACGTGATTTTGTGTGCATTGTTAGCCGGGCATTGTTCGCGTCTAAGTCACTAGCGTGCATCTACCGTAACCCCCCCTCGCGTGCGTCTGTTCCGAGGGCTCAGCGTCTACCCGAATACGTGCGGCTAAAATCGTTCTAACGCTCGCTCAATGTCCGTCTCACCAGCGCGTGCTCCGGGCTAAGCTACGCCATCAGGTCAATGCAAATCCGTTCGATTGGTCAGCGTTCCAGGCCGTTACCGTAGGCGTGCTCCAACCGTACCAGTGACAATCTTATCAGGCGTCTCTCAATTATAACTAGCCCGATACGTGGTTGACGGCTTATGCCTTAATCACTAAGCCGGGGCCCCGCGAGCAATGCCTGGCAACAAGGGTTTAAGTTCATTGTTTGGTCTCGGAGTACCTGCCAGGCATCTGGATTGCCGCTCTCCATCTAAATTGAGGCCATGGTTTGCTTCCAAACAAATTTCTGTCATTTCGATCGCTGAATCGCCTGCAGCGGAACATTTCCTTGCGAAGATCAGGTCCAACTAAGCTATATGCACCCGTGTGGGAGCACTTTCACCTATTTTTCCTTAGCACTGCGGATGCATTGCAACACGGCATCAGTGAAGCACAATACTAAGCGACAAGAAAAAACCATAAAGGTCGTTTCCCTCGAGCATACAAATTCGCAGCTAGGGCATCGTAGTTTTGAGTCGACTAACAAGCGAGACAGATGGGGCGGAATGAAATTGCGATACGACGAACTGCAAAAAAATAAAACATCTGATCCTGACTGCGTAGAAGACACATACCATACTGTCTGTAACAGTGTGTACGAGCTGACGGTTGAAGCATACGTCAAAATGCTTGCTAACCATAAAATCCACGGGGATTACTTCTCTTAATCCAAAGCACTGGGGGATGAATTTTATTGAGCACACTATAAATGTATAATTAACTGATATAAGGCGAAGCAAGAAGGACGTTTAAAGAACTGTACAAAGCAAGTAGATCAGAATATAGTTAAGAGTATCTACTTGGATTAACGGCTATGGTTGGTGGCATCCGGTCCCGGATTTGCCTGTCAATGCGGCCTCTACGGAGACAGCCACAGGACGCCTGCGCCTACAGAGAGATCATGGGGGCTTGCGCTGCACCATCCTCACACCCCATATCCGGTGTAAACCCGAAGGAATAAGACCAGGAGGCATGTGGTTGGGAGCCACGTTTCATCAACGGAGCAGGCCTACACTCCTTCACAGGCAAACACAAGCACACTGTCTTTTGGGAATCAAGCGCACACAAATCGGTGGTTAGGCCGTAGCTTACTCCACACATAAACCATGTGCATAGAGCGACTCTTTGAACCTAACAGTCGCAAGCACCGTGCACCCAGTCCCCTCCAGCGGCGACGGACTGTCTCCTCAAGCTAGTAGTTAGCATACTGGTAGGCACCTTGTTAACATGCACATCAAGCGCAGCCGTACCGGGGATGTCAAGCAACAGCTAAACATTTGAACTGACGAAGTCAAATAAAATAACTCGGAGAAGGCACACGGATATACCCGACTTAACTCATAACTAAACTAGCAAATGAAATAAATGTGCAAGCAACCTATTCGCGATAAATTCAAGATGGCGGAAAAGGGATCAAAAACATATGCAACTGAAAAATAATTAAGGAAGTTAACCACTTTTTATTTGAGCATGTAAGTAAATAAAATATTATTCAGATAATTAAAATGTAACGAAATAAGTATTAGTAAAATATAGCAAACCTGAAATGGGGAAAATCAGCACGCAAGTACGCGGTTAGTAAGTCGGGTGCAATTTACGTACCAACGCTGTGCCAGTTCTCTTTGTGTTCTCAGCAGTACCCATCGTCTTTTTGATGCTGGTGCCGAGTGGCCTCGCTCTTGGCTCCCCAGGCCTGCCTGACTCAGTCACTCGCGACCGCATGTGCTACAGCCTCATGCGCTCGACGTCGATGGACTACATCCCATCGACGCCTGTCGCTGGCGCACCTGCCGTTCGCATGCACGAAGACTTTCTATTGCACCCCCGCAACTGCCTTCGTGACACGTCGCGCTATGCACACCGATGAGCCGCTTTCGATTCTT